TCTTTGATTTACTGTTTAGCGCCAACAGCTTAGTTACTGCGTATACTAGTAAAACTCTATTATTCCAAGTCTTCGCTAAAATGAAGACAGTTCACGGATTGTGAAGTCCACGTTCTCACATCCTATTGTCACGCGGGCTCAGCTGCTTATGAGCCGTAAGTCGTTTGGGCTTGAACTAAACTAAAATGCTTAGAAAAACTAATTTTCGCCAGGATCTTTCGAATTTTTCAATTTTTTCCCATTTCAAGTATCGCAATTAGCATAGATTGAGAAGAAGCATAAGTTAAATTCTACCTCACATTTTAAGTATTTTTTTGAATGAGATATGAGCTCTGTTAGGTTTGTAACACCTTTCGCTTGTGTTTTTGTTGACCGCTGGGAATTTTAAAGTTTAAGATCAGTCTACTTTCTTCTAGTGTTCTCCTTTAATTCTCAATGTTTGCACGTGCATGTATTTCTATTTCAAGCTACAATTCACGTTGATGCATGCTTAAGTGCTAGCGTCTCAGCTTAGTTAGGTTGCTGTTCAAAAAAGCTTCAAATAAATGAGTGACGGTAAAGGCTTCTGGGCTCACCTTACCTTTCCGTTCGTGGCCTTGAAGCAGAAAAGAAAACAGAGGAACAAGAAAGAAATTGAAGAAAAAACATTTTCAAAAGGAACGTCCCATTTCTTATTGGCTCAACGGACGGCTTGCGCTTACTGACCCCGAGAGGCGAAACGGACGTGATAGCGTGTACTTTCACAGTCCTTGAAGGGCTTATACATTATGTAGCCCGCTAGTTTATGAACGTCTGTTGCGATATTGATGTACACATATATGGCAAAAAAACTATGAGCATTATTTGAAATAACCTCTTTAGAATACGGTTTTGATGTTTTCCCATGCCGAGTATGTTTATGGAACACTTTCTTCGCTGTGCATCACGTTTCAGCTCAGCCATCGGAGCCTAAAAGTGAGTCAATTACCTATCAAACGCTTTTACCAACAAACATCTCCTTCATATTGCCCATCCGACTTAGTAGGCAGCCAGTATCCAAGTTGACTTGACGCTTAAAGTGTTGCACTCAGATGCTAGCTCATTTCACTCTTGATTACTCATGTATGACAATCACTGCTTTCTCAAAATGGTTTCGTATAAGATTGTGAGCCAATTCTCAAGCAAAGTTTTCGCAATATTGCCCAACATTCCTTATATTCAGCAAAGAGAAATCGAAATTGTATAGGAGAATTGTACGAATTCATGTCGCTTTTAAAGCGCTTTCTTTTTTATTCAACCTGCATCTCATTAATGGGGGGACGTAGGGACATAGCAAAACACGAATGGCCATATGCATGAATGTCCTAACAAAGAAGAGGAGAGCAGCTTATCAACATTCTTGATGTAAAGGGAAGAGATTACGTGAAAATGACCTCTAGAAGTGAGATGGAGTTTGTGAGGGACACGTAAGACACTCTGTACTAATTGCAGAATTTCGTCTGTGCTGCATTACTACTTAGGTATCTTTCTTTGGATGCCTCTGCATATCAAAGTTTGGGTTCCTATTTTGTTTTCGCCCCTACTGAATTTTGACATATTGCTTCAACCACTGAATATCGCGCATATTTAATATCTGGCGCTGACCAGTGCGTGTAAGTTTCCTTGAAGATAAATCCAAATATAAGTTGTATCTATAAATATGTAAATTCTATAGAAGCGAGCAAAGCCGGATATACCGGCTATTTATTAGAGATTCGATTACGTTGATTACGATTACTTTGTTGCGACAAAGAAGATCACTTTTTGAATTAAACTTCTGCAATTATTAATCTCTATCAAACTAATTAAACAATCATGCAAGTTCATATAATTTGTTGAAGTAGTTAGTGCGGGACGGTTGTTCATTTGAACAGTAGACATGGTTCGATACTCCAGAGACAAAAGAACAAAAGTGATAGTGATTTTAACTAGGGACCTTTGCAAAAGTGATGGGGGTTTTTGATATGCTATGGTAGCTGAAGAGGATATAAGAAAATTTTCTTGATTTAAAAAGCAATCAGTGGGGAAACTTTTTTTTGAGAAAGTAGTCAATAAAAAATGTTGCAAAAATGACATAACACTTCACATTCTCCAATCATTTTCTTCGTCCCCGTTCCTTTTCGTGCATATACCTCACACCTATATACCTACCTATACACCTACCTAAAAATTGTGGAGCTAGAGTCGTCTTTTTACATAAAAGTGAAATTGTGAACAATATTGACCAACGTTGTTTGACACTCTAACATCCTTGAGCAGTCATTTGAATTTTGTACTTTCGCACTTTCATTGCATACATTTTCTCTTTGGGACCAACCAAGGGCGGAAAACGGGGGAAAGGCGAAGAAAAACAAAGAGATTTCTGGAACTACGAGAGTGGTCGCGTGAGATGCATGGTAGTGTCCTGAACTATAAAGTTAAGCGCTGAGAATGAGACTGACAATAGAACCATTCTTCTTATATCAAAATAAAAAACGACTTCACGAGAAAAGTCATTTTCGCATCTTTCCTTTAAATATTTTCATTGAATTCATGGTTTCTGAAAGTTGCGCAGTTGTCTAATTCCACAGCGCAATATTGCAAACGAAATGATCTTAAGG